GGCTCATTTTGCACCACCAGACTTGTTCTGGGGCATGAGTTGAGAATTGTTCTCTTCTGTTGCGCTTATAGGAATTTGGAAAAGGGCATTCTTGCTCCTGTTTCTGTTAATGATTATTATTTTTTTTTTGTGGTAAAATAGTCAACAGCTGCTACAGTGATGTACTACAATTACCTTATTATTAAAGTCCGATCTGTAAATTAGTCTGCCCAATATTAGGCAGAGCTTCCACAGTTTGTTTTCATGAATACTATTAGCCACACTGATTAATTATATCTTATTTTTAAAATCCTTTCACTGGACCCCCTGGAATACTTATTAATTGCTCCATTCTTTTCATTGTGAGGATGTAAGGTACACCATTGGTTCCTCTATCTCAGTACTGTTTTCAACAGCAGCTCTAAGCAGACACTTAGGGAAATGTAGGAATGGAGCACACATGTAAGGATCTTCAGAACAGCATGATTAATTTGTTGGGGTTCTATGTGTCTGTGATTTTTTGTTATAATCAATTAAGGGTTTTTGTATTTGGTCAGCATAAAAATAAAAATATGCAAAAAAAATCCTGCTTCCATTCACTTAAATTGGGATCTGTGTACTAGGAGTGATGAGATCATACATATCTAAGTGTTGTTTTTGCAAGAGTTAAAGAATTAGAGATGGGGTGACTGAGGCTTGTAGGGATGAAAGGCTGCATAGTTTAAGTCAGCATGATCCAGTTCAGTGAAGCCCAGTGAATTTACAACAGATGAGGATTCGGTCCATTTTAATGCAGTTAATGTCGCACATTCAGCTGGTGATAGAGGTAATAAATGACCTCAGCCCTTGTCACTGTAGTTGCCATATATGCAGCAGAAGCAGGCAGCACTTGAGGCTGAAAAGCAGCCAGGCTGGAAGATGTGCACGAAGCTTTAGCATAAAACCTAAAAATTGCTGATGACACTGAAGTTGTGATTCTGGAAGGTAAGAGGAATAGGCATGGGAGAGCACAGAAAAAAGACTTGCAGTTTTTCTGGGACCGTGTAGCACTGAGACAGTTATGAGATGGTTGCTTGAAGTGAGCAAGAGGTATGCATTTGTAAAACATATCAAAAGCCAGATTTTAGAAGGAGCACATTAAAGCAGAACTTGAATTCACTGCTGACTGCACCACAAACCAACTGGATCATGCTCTAGAGAAGCTTACGATGTCTTATGAGCCAGCAGAATATTTTAAGGGGTGGTTTGTTGGGTTTTTTGTTGTTGTTGTTGTTGTTTTTTTGTTTGTTTGGTTTGGTTTGGGTTGGGTTGGGTTTTTTGTTGTTGTGCGCGGGAGCTGATAGAGATGCTTTGGATGCCTGTGCGAGTTGTAGCCAATATTGGTGTTTTGCTTCATGCTACTGGGTACAGAGTTAAAGTGTGTTATTCTCTGTATTTTCCTCATGAGAATACCAGCTGGTTTGCACATTGCTGGTCTGTTCCACTTGAATTCCGAAGCAAACGACTGGCAAGGAGACTCTCCCTCTCCTATGGTCCTGGGCTGAGGCTGCTGTTCTCCTGCATGAAGGAATAAACAAGATCCTTTATTCTTTCTAGGTTGCTTTTCCTTTTCAGTTAAAATAAAATACAGCTGAAAGTCAAGTCGCTGTCTAAAAATGAACACATCCCCAGTTACTAAATTAGTAATTACTATTTAGTTACTATTAAAAATTACTACTTAGTGTGAAGTACAACCATAATTATTTTCCTGAAAGACTTAATTGAATGAGATTTTCTAGTGTCTAAGCATCATAAAATGACCACCATGTGCATCATGAGTGAGGGTGAGGGGAGAGAAAAATGTGAGGGAAGGAGAATGCCATTTTATCCTTTTGACTGCTACCTAGTCACCAGGCTGCTATCTCTGTCCATCAAAGAGGTCTTAACATCAGTCAATGTCTTTTTGTCCTGTTACAGTATAATTTCCACGTGCACCCAGGTACCTGTGTAAGTCACACTTCTCTTGTTAAAAGTGAATAATTTTTTGCTTACATCACCCAGCATTTGGGAAGAGTAATCATCAGAATCAGTGCTGTGACATTTGATGCACAAAGCAAGCATATAGTCTTCGATGCTTCTGTTTCCAGGTTATTATTTATACTTGTAACTGTTTCTAATTAACCTGTAAGTATTGTCTATATCAGATATTGGAAGAAATGCACTGCACACTTCTCCAGAATTCAGATAAGTGGTAGAAGTGAAAGAGATGGCTTCTTCTCTGTTAAAAAAAACAACAAAACATGCTAAAACATGAATGTGACTAACTGCTTCATTGTGGTATGGTCCTTGCCCTGTTTCTGACCTTTTTGTGTCTGATGGTTGAATACATGAAAGTTAGTTGTTTATCTTCTTCACACAGTCATCTTTTTTGGCAGTAGATGATCCAAGCTCTTACTGAAGAATAATTGCCTTGCATGTGTATGTAAAGGCTACTAGCAAGGTTGTTTCACTTCTGTCTTGCTATTTTCTATATTATACTGAAGTGCTTTGAGATAGTCTTTGGTGTGATACAGAGGCACTGGAAGTAGGACATGATTTAAATGTAGGTGGGAAAGAACTGTGTCCTTGAGATTTCTAGAAATCATTTTTCCTGGTTCTGTTTTAGTAAAACCACAGTTTACCTAACAAAATGGTATGAATTTCCATACCCATTGAAAATAAATGAAAGAATGAATTGTGTGTGACCTGTATCATGCTAACGTTTGCCTTTTGCTAGTTTAAAGTCAAAAGAAAATATATAGATAACTGATTTCCAGTTTTCTTTGAATGCTTGTTGCACTTCTGATTTCATCCCAGCATTAGGGATAGCAGTTCACAGAATCATAGAATAGTTTACTTTAGAAGGGTCCTTCAAAGGTAATCTAGTTCAACTCCCATGCAAGGAGCAGGGACATCTTGAACTAGATCAGGTTACTCAGAACCACATCTAGCCTGATCTTGAATATTTCCAGGGATGGTGCATCCACCGCCTCTCTGAGCAACCTGTGCCAGTGTTTTACCACCCTCACTGTAAAAAATTGCTTCCTCACATCCAGCATGTATCTCCTTTTACTTTCAAACCATTACCTGTTGTCCTGTTGCAACAGGCCCTGCTGAAGCTTCTCTCCCCATCTTTCTTATGGGCCCCTTTTAAGAACTGAAAGGCCACAATAAGGTCTCTCTGGAGTCTTGTCTTCTCCAGTCTGAACAACCCCAACTATCTCAGCCTTTTCTCACAGGAGAGGTGCCGACTTCGGCTGGTGCGAGACCAGTCAAAATGAGAGATGGGGTTTGAGGTGTGTGTGGCATCAAATTTCTTTATTGCAGATTTGTCTGCCTGCTTTCTCTCTTGTTTCCTGAAAGCGTGGGGGCATTTGTAAATAAAGATAGGCCAGGGCTGCAGGATGCAGAGAACTGAATTCATGTCTTGCCTTAGGATACCTCAGTGCTTGGATTGTGTTCTTTTTCCCCAGATATATAAAAGCTATTTCTAGATATATGAAAGCTGCTTTGCCCAATCAGTTTTCAGTATAGAGAGAAAAAGTCTGCAGAGTTATACTTACCTTCATGTGTAGACACACATAGTTTTTTAAAGGCCTAGCTCTATATGCTGGGCAGTCTTCTTTTGTTTGTAAAAACTATACAGAAAAAATAAACTCTAAGTGCAGACATGGTAGTAGCTTATGAAATTTTGCACTGAGAAGACAGTTATGGCTGCTGTTCCACAAAATATATTCTTGAGCTGTGTACCATGCTGTGAGGTTTACATGCAGAAGGAAAGAAAAAAGGAAAAGTGTTACTCACAAAAGCAAATGGGGCTGTTATGTATTTCACTCATTTCATTTACAAAACAAAATTGCTTCAGTGTCGGTAATTCCACATTTTATCTTCTGCCTTCTACTGTACAGGCATTTGGCTTAGCTTGTATTTTCAGTAAGGGCCTATTAATCCAATCACATTATTGTTGATAACATTTAAAGCCCTAAGAACTTATATGCAGGTGTTTGTTTTAGATGTGAAACAATATCTTAATGTTTTTTTAAGGCTTATGTTCTTCTTGTGTATAGGATTGCTCATAAAACCAGGTCACAAATGTCCTAGAGAGACAAATAATATTGGAATAGAATTGAAACAGTATTGAAGCAAGTAATGCTTAAATGCTGAAGACAATATAGTGCTGGAATCTGACTGATGGAAGTTTTATGATCTGTGTGGGAGCCACAGGCTATGATGTTACTGGTTGGGCTAAAGGACCAGGCCTTCCAAGTGCATCAGCTGCATTAGGACTTCTGTCAACTCAACAAAAATTTAAAGTATTTATTTTCACCTGTGTTTTTGTGGTGGCTGTATAGTGGGGTAAATTTCACTTCTCTAAAGTCTGGAGCCAGCTCGCCTGTAAAGACTGCGTGTCTCATATGGTCCTTGCTGCCTGTCATGTGGTAGTACTCACCTGAGTGATGGAGTATGTTTGCAGTTGAAGATTCACATGTTAATTCTGTGTGTTTTGCTTCGTTATGTGGTTCTTGATTCAAATCATTAGAGAAAACATGTAATCTTCTTTAAACTATGAGTGCAGCCTAAAAATCATACAGCTGTGAAGGAGAGATGTTAAGAAACAGGTGAGTATTGATGTTTTGCTTCTATTTAAGATTGGGGCCTTTCATCTCTCAGTTTAAACTTAGATAGCTAATTCAGTTTTGTTCTTTGTGTGGAAGATATTGTTTGATATTTCTAGGAGGTGCATCTTTAAGGAGAGCATCTTCAGGAAAGCTTTGTTCAGAAAGTGTTAAGAGATAGTAGCAGGCTGGTTATTTATAAAAGGAGTGTTTGTGCTGGCCTGTGCATTACAGTTCTCTGTTTAATGAATATATATTAGCTTTGGATGTGTACTCGTAATTATGATAATGGAAAAAGTCACAAATAAGTTGGAGTCCTAAATTTTGCCTGAAAGGCAGTGAGAAATTAACAGGCGCTGACTTGCTTTTTCACACTTCCAGTCAATGAAAAAGAGATCCACGGCTCCATCTGCTGGCGTTCACACCCACCGGCAAGAGTTGCGCTTCACTGAATGCACTGCACTCCGGCACACTTGTGTGAGTAACTGCTTGGCAGAAATTGAAATAAGAAATGCTGGGGTTTGCTTTTTTAGCTGGTGGAGTAGATTTCTCTGGAGGCGTTGGTGTACTGTTTTGACAATTTTAGCTGTTTTAATATTTGTAGTTTGTTTTTTTTTTTTTCCTTTTCTGCTGTTGCATTCACTGGAAGTTGTTTCTTTCGACAAGTTACAGTAATATATAAAATACAGAGCTGCTTATATAATTCTTGCCCCGTAAATATATGTTTTTTTTATACTCGTACAACTGCTGTAGGTAAGATAAAGAACTAATATTGTGTAGTTGGATGTTTCTTCCAAAGATGATCGCTGTAGGGAAAAAATAAGCTCCAAGAATAAAAAAACTTGGCCTTTTTGTTTTCTCTGGAGATTAAGTACATGACTTTAAGTTATTTTTGAGAATAATTTGCATTTTTCAACATCTTGGTGCAGGCCAATGTGAAAGAAAACTATTGTTATTTGATTAATTTTAGAAATTGCTTATAAGAGGAAAAATGTCTTGTTCACATTTTGCCTGTTTCTCATTTGCAGTGGTTTCAGCACAGGAGCTCAGGAAACTGAAGTAGGGAAGATGCTGAAATAGTCCACCATTACTTTGGCTGCAATTAAATGTTTTCAAAACAGTTTACTTATTTTCCTTTAATATATCAAACTTTGCCTTGTTGTGCATCAAAAATCCATTCCAGTAAAAGCAAAATTTGAATGTCTGTCTGTTGCAGCATGGAGTAAACCCTTCAGTTTCAGCAGTAACTGGATTTTAGAATTAAAAAGTATTGCAAAGTAATGGTTTGTATGTTTGACTAAGAATCAGACCTCTGTACAGCATACGGTGTAGGCTATTTTTTGGCTGTTCACATTATGTGATAATGATGTAAAATACATTTTGTCCTAAACAAGGGGCCTGATCTAACTGGAACTTTCATAGACTGACATTTTCCTTCATCCTTCTTTCTTATTTGACTACTTGTTACTATTCTAAAAACTCCAGTAATTTAAGACACACAGAACTTTCTATTAGGTCCTAGATTGATTGTGTAGAATTAGAATTGTTGTCCAGTTTAAGTGTGAAAGAGTTGTCTGGAATGGCATAATAGCATTGCAAAGGTGTCTTTCTCTGCTGTTTTCTTTTTCTTCTGTTGCAGCTTTTAAGAAGGATGCCAGCAGGGTTGAGGATGTTAGATAGCAGAAGATTAGTGGGTTTGTAACGCGTATGCAGCTGGAGTGAATTTCTCTTTGTGAGGGTTACTTCTATAAAGTGGAAAGCACATCTGATTACATTAAATGTGGATGCTGAAAGGAAACACCTCCTATTTTGCCCATTATAGTATATATATGGAAGTTCATAACACCTCTGCAATAAGCAAAAAAATCAATGAAAGATTTTACTTTTTTAATATCTGAGGGTCTTAAGTAATATTAATAATGTTAAAATAGTTTGAAATACATACAATTTTTTTCCTGTGTTGCAGGTAGAATTGTTGTTTCAACTCAGTGATAAACATTGGCAGTTATGCATTTCAAAATGTATATGCATGTGTGTATATGTCAAATAATATATACAAATAATCAAAATATTAATACAGCATTCAAAGTATTTGAACTGTATATGCACATAAGCATTCATATATGGATTTATGCGGGTATGTGTACATGTATGTATAGGTTTTAAGAAATATCCTCTGATAGTTATTGCAGACCTAGAATGAAAAGTATATTAGAATTACTTCATATTTTACAGGTGAGGATTTCTGCTGCTTAGTCAGTAAGAGAAATGTTGATAGTTTGTGCTCTTCCTTCAAGATGCAAGGGAAGAATGACTGAATAAAAACCATTTTGCTATCTGCAATTAAACTTAATGTATTAAAAATTATGACCACCTGGGAAGCTAAGACCATGTATATTCTTAGAAATATTGTTTGGAATAATCTCTTATTATTTAGACACAGCCTCCATATTTCTAGCAAAAGTTAATACTTGATTTTTGTCCAGTTTTCTGCTTCCTTCTGCTCTCAACTTGACGAATTTCACATGATTATAAACCAGGACGGTTTGTTCTCCAGTGAACTGAAAAGGTGTGGGCAGGAGAGTGAATGTGGAGAGCAAATGCTTTGCCTGAGCATAAGATGCCTATAGTGATTTGATTTATTTGAAAAATATTTTGCTCATCTGCCACAGTTGTAAAACTGTATTTGAAAGTCTTTTTTCAGCAGTTATGGTGTCTCCTTAAAATACAAGGAAGAGCCCCCAGAATCTCTAGGCTTGGGTTGTGTCTATGTGCATGTATATATGTCAGCATGCCTACAAGTAGACATTCACAACAGCAAAAAACCCACAAAAGGTTTGTACAGGGAGGGTGGAGAGGATTGCATGCATCTTTCTGAAGTCCATTTTGTAGACAGATGAGCAAGCTGGTATAACTGAAGCCCCTGTCTGAGTTCACAAGGTCTCAGCTTCTCTGTACTGTTGCCTGTGCTTTTGCTCTTAAGAATGATGTAAATGCAAACTACCTTATTTGTCAGTGAAATGGAACAACTGGTTGTGCATCAGTTTGGTGGATATAAAATTATTCTGATAACCTGTGTGTGTCTGTACCATCAGTTTGGTCCCAATCTTACTGAATTCAAATCTGGGTTTCAGTTGCAGAACCTGGGCATTGTCTAGGTTGGGGTTTAGCATGCCACCAGAGATCACCAATTACTTATGTCAGTGACTGTTCCGAAACTATTTCTTTCATCTTAAACTACAGAATTGCTTATTGATCCCTAGTGCTTGTGAATATTGTGGCTGTTTGGCAATGCATGTTGAGGCTGGAGCTCTACTAGCTTTTTAAAAAAACAACATGTTAACAACGCAGAAAGTACAGTCCAATGTTTAGTTAGTAAGTCTCTGAACTTATGTGTTACCCTTTCGTTCACAGTAATGTAACATATATGTACTTTTATTAACCCTTAAATATTCTTTTCCCAGTTTTAATATGTGTGTGTATATATATATATATACACTGCGTAAGTACGTATATTGTTTGTAGACATTTGTTGTAGTGATCATTAGATGAATGAATTTGTTTTTGAACTTGACATACAAACATTGTTTAGATAAATGACCTGATTTTTATTCCTATGTGCTGAACACCTGCAGCTCACAAAGTTGCACTCAGGCATTATACCTACAGCCTTTTTCATTTGTGCGACTATATATCATGTGTTTTTATTGTTCCCTCTGTGGTCCTGTCTCTCACAGGGATAGTTTATATAATAAGAACAAAAAGTAGATAGAACTGATATATCTGCTGTGCTGACAAAAATAAGTCTTTGTTGCTTAAATATTTATTAAAAAAAATCTAAGGGTGCATGAAACACTTTTCACCGATTTCAGACCAACTGCAAAAATAGTTAATTGTGAGCAAGTATGTTACAAGAGGATTTCAGAGGAGTGTTCAAATGAAACATTGAAGTTCATATCTAGAAACATGTCACCATATTTTGACAGTAAATTCCTAGCACTTAGAGTTCTTTAGGAAGAATTTTTCATGATGCATATTTTAGCTTGATTGCAATGCCAGCACTTTTTTTGCTGTAAGGTGATAGATACAGCCTTTAGCAGGAGCACATAAAGGAATTAAAAATTCAACTGAAAGTTCATTGAAGAATATTTCAGTCCTTTCTTGCAAAAATCTGAGTGTTCAGGAACACAAAATAATGTGTTGTTCTACTCAGATAATGAAAAATCAATTCTCTTAATAGAGCTTACAGTTTATAAGATGACTTGTCCTAAGAACTTGCATAAAAGGACATTTGTATCTATTTTAGCTTGTAGATTTTATACTCTCAACCATGGTGATCTGCATTGTATAATATATATAATATATATAAAATGATATAATACCATATATATGTAATATAGAACTTTTTCATCCACATCTTTGCTCAGCTGCTGGGTTTTCAGTGCCGTCTACTGAATATCACTTTGAAATTCTAGAAGTCTTCAGTCACGCATGTGCAATGACTGGCTGCTGTGCATAAAATTGATGTTGCATTTAGGCTGATGTAAAGCCTGTTCAAGTGGACTTTGAGGCTGAATAACTTTTTTTCCTTTTTTACCCCAGATTAATTTATTGGCTGTGAAGAGCCACGGACACTTTGTGCCCTGATGGGGGACTCAGGATCCAGACGATCGACTCTAGTATCTCGATTGCCAATATTCAGGAGAAGTGTTAGCCGGAGACACGACTCTCTTCCCTCCTCACCTTCTTCTGCTAATGCCATTGGTGCCCACACATCCTCCCCATCCAGCACTAACTCCAGCTCAGGGAGCACAGGCAAGCGCCGGAGTATCTTCCGCACTCCTTCCATTAGCTTCCATAACAAGAAAGGGAGTGAGCAGAAGCCTGACTCTGCTAGTCAAAATGTTAATGTCACAAATGGTGCCCAGTCCTCTCTCAGCACTTTTCAAAAACTGAGCTTAGAGGAACACATTAAAAGCAGAGGAAGGCATTCAGTTGGCTTTGGCAGCTCACGTAGCAAGAAGATAACAAGGTCTTTGACAGACGATTTTGAAAAGGGAAAGGAGCCTTCAGCTAATAAGAATGTCTTTATAAATTGCATAAGCTCTGGGAAGAACGAGGGTGATGATTCAGGCTTTGCAGAGGAGCAGAGCCGATACTCTGTCAAACATTCCACACGAAAACTTCTCCCTAAATCTTTTTCATCGCACTACAAATTTTCTAAACCAGTACCAGAGAGTCAGTCAGTTTCCTCTGTGCAGCAGTCCAGGTGTTTGCTAGAGATTAAATCGTATGTGGAAAGTGAACCTGTGATCACCAAGTCCTCTCCTCCGTGTTCAGCTGAGACGACAGAGTGCATGGGAAGCTCCTTACAGTCCCCACTGCTCTCAACTGACCTTACAGCTGCCCAGACGCCCTCTGACTTTGTTGCTCTGACAGAGGATTCTGTTTCAGAGGCTGATGCTCTGGCCAGCAATGGGACTGGGGTGCTGCTTACAGAAGATTTTGGCCACAGTGTCTCTACCTCTCAGATCCTTAATCCTGTTGCTGCTCCTGCGAGGGAAATGGATTTTGTAGAAAGTACTGGCCATTCTACTGGTATATCTTGTGTGAATCATGCAAGCTTGTGTAGTGTTGATTCTAGTACCTTATTCAAAGCCTCAGCTGATAGTCAAACAAAAGTATCATTGCAAGCCAATGAACTACGTATCAATGATGCCAGGCACATAGGAGAAATTAACTCTGGAAACGCACATTTAGAAAACTTTGAGTTACAGCATAGAGAAGAACCAGTGATACCCTCTTCAAAGGCACAGGGGTTGAGTGGGGACAGAGATAAAAGCACGCCTTCCAAGCACAGAGGGGAGACAATTCCTGTAGTGGAGTCTCAGATTGTTCCACATTCTGAACCTCAGTCCTTTAAACCACAACAGGGTTATGAAACAAACTGGTCTAAAGGTATGTCATGTGGTCTTTTTGTTACTGGGTTTGGGTGTGTGTATGTGTGTGTTTTTTGTTCTCAGCTCTTCTGTAAATATTGTTTGATCATAAAAGTGTTTTGCAGATTTGGAAGTGCTAGTTAGAAAGTTCAAAAGTTATGAATTGTGTCCTTCTCCCAAAATTGTAGGAATTAAAGTCTATGATTTTTGAGTTCACATTTTACAGTTTGCAAACACCAGTCAGTGCTGTTCGTAGCTGTGCTTTCCAGTGGTAGAAAATTAATTAAGAAAGAGTATTGATCCTTGTCTATTGACGAAGGCTGAAGATGGTGTATTTTTGAGGTATGCCTGTTTTGGACTTGAGCCAAAGGGTTACGTTGTTTGAGATCAAACATCGTCAGAGAAAAACCTTCTTTTAGTCCAGTTATGAAAAATAATACAGTTTATCTTATATTGATCTGGGTTTTGAAATTTCCCAATTCTTGCTTTTACTATTCAGCTAACGATACAGAGTAGCTTGGACTGGATGTGTTTGTGGCAGAGTATGAAAGATCCTATTTCTGCAAATATTTCTGAAATAACATTGTGCAAGTTCTCATTACAAAATCAGTGAAACAGAGAGAGTTAATTACCGGCTAAATTTCACACTGGATCTTCAGTTTATGAAAAAGCATTTGGAAATATTAACAACGTTAAGTGGAAAGGCTGTGCCTAGAAATCCCATTCTAGCCAGATGCAGATGAATAAAGGCACCAGGCCCTTGAGTGAAGGACACCTGTCAGAAGACATTTGTCTCTGACAGTTTATTTTCTCAAACTAGACTAAAGACTGGTGCTTTCTTGCATAACCCTGACGTATCTGGCAGGCCAACATTTGTGAGACTTAACACATCTGCATTAGAAGATGGTTGAGTGTAAACTTATATGAATTCATACCCATCTTTTTGCTTGGACATTTATATAGGCATGTAGATTATAAGCAATCAAAAAGCAATCTTGCTTTTTGAATCATTTGTCACTGCAAGGCTTGGTTGGATATCTTGTACGTAAATAGCAATATAAAGTAAAATTAATCCACTATATTAGCTTTCACTAGAAAGGACCTCTCTCCCTCAGACCTTAGTCAATTGGGAGAAAAAACATTTCCATTTATGTATGTTACTGGTGCTGAGCATTCGGTCTTTCTTGCAACATTGGCTCATCTGTAAATGAGCTCATACTTTTGCATCTGTTATTAGAGAGTACTGCAGAACAGCAAGTGAACAGCTCACAGTGATGTTTAGAAATACACAGTGCATTTGAAACTCACGCATCAGCAGTTGTATATTTAATCTGCATTTCTACAAAGCAGCTAACTGGAGTTGAAACTGTGACAGCAGGATTTTTGTAAATGGGATTAATATTCACAGAAACACTAGAGCCAACACTGCGCTGTATAAAAATCATGATTAATTGTTAGGGTTCTATAGCGCTGTTCAAAATGTAATTTGGTTTTTTACTTGTGTGGTGAAGAATATATTTAAAATTAGATACTGGCCAAGCAAAGGAACCATTGGAAAAAGATACACAATCCTGCCATATGAAATGATACAAATATAGTAAAAACTTATCTGGCATTCAGTAAGATATGGTTATAAATAGCTATATCTGTTACAAACAAACTGGTTTGAACATTTAGTCTTGTTAAAATAGTATTTAAAACCAGATGTGAATGAAAAATATTTCCATGCGTTTTCTTTGGTAATAGATGTTTTCTCTTCCATAACTGCTCTCGCAGCTGATATCATTATAGATAGCTTCACGAACATGACATTAATGTATAAGTAGGTTTGATATATTTCTTACTATAGAAATAATTTATGTAATACTTTTTTGTATTTTTGTGACACAGATTTTTTTTTTGAGAAGCCTTACAGAAAATATCAGTTCTCTTGCAAGACAAAAGAAGATAAGATATTCTGTGTTGCATTTATTATGTTATTAGGCTTTTCTCTTCCCCCATCTCTCAATTTACCCTAACACCTCAAAATGTAATTTTTCTTCTCTTTTCTAATGTGTTTAACTGGAGTTGGGCACTGGGATTCAGCCTGCGCCTGCAGGCTTTGTTTGGAGGGTGAGAACGCAGAGCTGAGCTAGGAAAGCCAAGCAGAACCAGTGTGCGTCCTTGTCCTGTGCAGTGATAGCTAAGCTGTGGCTTGGCCCTACAAAACCTGAACTTGCCTTGGGACTCAGGGTAAGGCAGGTTGGGTTTTGGCACAAATGGGCCGATGATAGTTTCTCTGGTGGATTTTACTGGACAGTGGTATGGAGGTGTCCTAGAACAGGGGGAGAAAGGAAAGGATGAAGCAAAGGTTCTTTGGATTCTGTAAGGAGTCATGGACTGGGCTGCAGTGTGCTTAGTGTGCTAGTCATTGGGTGCTCAACAGCAAACTGGTGACACAGGTGACACTTCTATCTAGATGAGCGGGAGTCTGATTTCTATAGAACATCTCTTATGAGATTGCCTTTCAGTGTAAACATTTCAAGAAAAGCTGTAGAGAGTAGCTCTCTAATGATTGCTGATTGCTTCTGTATTTGTAGTTGATCTTGCCAATAGCTTCAGTCCATACCGAGAAGGCAGATTTGTTGAGAAGCGACTGAGATCCTCTTCAGAAGGTACTGCTGGAGGCAGTCGGCTGATCATAAAACCAAAGGCTGGAAATACAGAAGATCTTAACAGCCTACGGAAGCAGAGAGCAAGCTCATCCTCTTCAAAAATGAACAGCATGGTGAGTTTTATTCTCATATTCTCTCAAAAATTAACAGCATGGTGATTTGTTTTTTCTATGGTTGGAGTAGCTTTGATGAGAAGCAGCAACTTTACAAACAATGGATGCTAATAAAGGTGTGTGTGCAGGGGAACAACACACACTGTCCCAGGCTTCCAAAATGTGATCCAGGCTCCGATATTGAAAATATTTTTGTTTTAGGGTGTGACATTGTGAAAAGGTTTTCATGCTTTGTGAAGAGATTCTTGTCATGCTTTGCTGATTTGCCTGAGAGAAAAGTAGTGGAAGAGGGAACTGCAGCAAAATTCAGTATGACTATTTCTGAGATGAAATACAGTGGGCTACTTTGTGGCAGCATTGTGTGATCATGTTAGTTATTTCATGGTCTCTGGTCTGGTATGAGTGAGATGAGAAGCTGAATAGAAAGGAAGTTGTCTGTAAGGAGGCTCACTTGAAAGGTCAGAGTGGTCCCTTTTGAATCTGGTGCCAAGTTTGAATACTTTCACTCTGGGCAGAAAGTAAGGAGGAGAGGAAAGGATCTTTACTGAGAACCCTTGAGGGTCCCAAGGACTGGAAAAGTAAGAGAAGTTAGGTAACTGCAGAAGATTACTTCTGAGTAATTTTGCTCTTCTAGTGAAACACTAACAGAAGGAACTGACTGATTAACAAGTTGTGCTTTCCTATAGCTAGAGAGAATAAACATTTTAAGACCAATGTCATTTATACTTATGCATATGCTCTCAAATGAGAGAGATAAACAAGATTCTAAGATTGAACATCTACAGCAGTGCATCCACTCTTTAGCTTAAGGGAATCGCTAAAACAAATTTCATGGCCAGTGTTGGTTTGAAATATTTTATTCAACGTGCTAGCTGAAAAAGAGGATTAATTTTGTATTCTTAATCTGAAAACTTTCCACAGAAAGCAAAAAGCTCTAAGCTCTTACCCTTGCCTAGAGTTTCTAAACAGATGTATATATAAAGGGACTTTTTCTTTTTGGATGTACTTAATAGCCATTGTTACAATGATGCGTGACCAAACGCATCCCTGAAAAACTCTGATGTGAAAACAAATGCCATTTCTAGGGAACAATTTTTGCAGTTTTTCAGAGATGTGACACTGATTGGTACAAACTGGTGTTAGATTTCCAGTTATGTGCTCTTCTAGTGTAGTTTTACAAGCTAATGCTAAAACTCAACAACTCATACCATAACTTAGAGAACTTTTATGACTGCATATTGTTTTGTCTGTCACTAAATGTAATCTCTCTTACCCAAGAAGCTAAGGAAGGCTAAATTGTCTTCCTCTGTAAGGTTTGCCCATACTAGTTTCTGGTTGGTCATTTAAAAATTGTTCTCCAGAGAAAGATGCAATTTAGTGTGAAATCCCCTTACAGAAATTGTGGCAGGAAATTGGAGTTTAAGGGTTTCTCAAGAGGATGTGAAATTTATCTTTGATCTGGGCAGATTTTGCCCCTGTGTCTGAATGTGTTACCTTAATGTTCCTTTCTGGCTGGGCTCACAAATGCTGCTGTGGATGGCAGAAGAAAACTACATTAGTACCAAGCAAAATCTTACTATGTATGGCCAATGCACAACCTATTTTCCAGTGTAGCAGTGTCCTGCAGCAGTGGTCACTAAAAACACTCAAAAGAAATGGAGTTATTTGATGGCTTTTACAAAAACGCTTGCCTGTACACTCACTTTGTGTAACCTGGGCAGATTGGATTACCTACAGTTTATTAACAGGAGTATGCTCTTCTTAGCAGTATCAGGTTGTGCAGGTTTATCAGTATTTACTGATTAATGTTATACTACCCAAAAGGGTAGGAGGCAAATTAATTTTAGGAAGGATAAGATTTTTCACATCCGCCTTTCTTGTTTCTAAATTGTTGACAGTTTGTCAGATGAGGTAGTACAGTACTTCAAAATTTATTTTAACAAAACCCTTGATTTTTAAAAAAACCTTTTCTTTCTATACACTGGATTACTATACCCAGAGACACAACATAGAAATCAAGGGGCAGAATTCTTCTAAATAGTAGAAAAAACCCCTTTGTTCTATTAAGGTATATATTTATAGCACATTTCTCTGTTTTTTTGAGGAAGCTAACATCGAAATATCAACGAATGACATCTTATTTTTCAAAGCCAGAAAGAATATGATGACATTTAAAGATGCTGTTTCATGTAGGCATACAGACTGTTACGCAGATGTAGTTCCTGTCCTAAAAAGATGGTTTACCCTGGCTCAAGCCTATAAAACTTATCTGGGTTGTTAGACCCAAGCTATTATTCATATCTCTGCATTCATTTAAATACTAGGCTAGAACAATGGCATAGCACTGCATTCTGTTTAGCCCTGTGTTAGTGATGGGACTAGGAAGGTGACAGCACAGTAACAAAAGGAAGTAAGCAAAATGTGCATGGGGGGTAGGTGATGTTTGAGTCTCCAATTCTTCATGTTTTGTATGAAATCCATGTGGGTTTTTTTCTTTTTTATTCCCCCCACCCCTTCCATTAGCAAGCTTATCCACAAATTGACAAGTTTCTGTTGCAAAATGTTTGTACTGTTTGTTTTTGTAAGAAAATGCGACATGAAAATGTTCGTTTCTTTAGTAGGAAGTGAGTTATAAGAAGTAATAAAAAAACCAAAACCCACATTATCCGCCCTCGACAATCAGAAGTTAAAAGAATAAGCTGAGTTCCCTGGAAGGAAAAGGAAGTAAAATTGAAGAATTGGAATGTTTTTAGCAATACATATCTGAACAGGAAAAAGGCCCTTTCAAAATACTTGACACAATCCATTAATCTTTAACAGTACAGTAACAGATTATTGCACGTGAATGATCCTAATGAAGAATAAATACTAGATAAAGAATTGGAGTTACAAAACCCCCTATGATTAAAAATCCTAACCTAACTATATTGTATGTCTAGAAAAGCATTAGCCTCTGTGACTATCTGTATTCATTTTTTTCAGTTTTGGAAGAAAATGAGTCAAAGGCATTTAAGGGATGTCAAGTTCACAAGGGATTGCTGAGGCCTACCTGCCGAGGGACAGCGTTGCTGTTCAGTTCTGCTCTGCAGCATTGAGTGAGCGGCAGCAGCTGTGGATACTGGTTTTCTGGCATAATCCAGATGTCGCGTAAAGCTGAAGAAGCTTTGTAACATGGAAACTTTCCTTGCAAACTGAAGAAAGTCCTCCAAGACCCTGTTTGCTTTCTTTTTCTTGCTGTCAGGCAGTGTGGGTTCTTTCTTCTGAGGGGGTAGCAGGAGTGAGGAGCCAGAAGAATTGAGGGGATGATAGATTTTCACAGGAGATGAGAAGCAGGAAAGAAGAACTGAGAAACTTCTCTTCCTTCTACACAACTGGCCCATCAGAGTATTTTTGACATGACTGGCAGTGCATTTTTTGAAGGTGATACGTGAAAGCTTAGATAGATGGATCTTCTTAAGACTGAGAGTATGTATCAAACCACCACCTGCAAGAGTGGTATTAACTCACTTGTGAGAGGCTGAAAGTAATTTATAATCTGGCCAAGAGCAATGGTACTTGTAAATGAGACTTAAGGAAAAAAAAAAGTCTTACAAAATAACTGAAATTGTGCCAATTTTTTAGTTAAGTAAATAACGAACTGAAAGAGATGGTTGATATTAACCACTTCAATTATTAATTCTCTGTGTTGTTCCTTAGAATAGTTTCAAATCCATCATTCTTGCAGTGACTGATTTCTGCCACAAGATGACACCATTTCACTAAAAATGGTTTTAGACTTTAGTTTTGCAATTAAGACAAAAGGTGAAAACTGCAATTCAGGACACGTTTTACAACAGTTTAATGTTGATTAGCCTGTGCAGTGTAATAGACCCTTTTCAAATGAACATGGTTGATACTGATGCAATTTAAAGAGGCTTATAGAATATATATATTCTGTATACATAGAAACTCTGGTCATTCAAATGTTCCAAATATGAAATCGTCAGTTACAACTTCAAAAATTTAGGTGTAATATATGGACTAGTTATCTAGCCTCATAAGATTGATAGAGGCTGTGATCTTGAGACCTGTTCTCCATCTAGGTGGTGGTTCTTTTCCAAGATGCAAGAAAAACAAAAAGGAAGAAATTAAAAATGTAAAGCGGCACGGTAAAATACCTGAATGGCCAGAAATATGCAGCCCTGCAAGACCAATGAAAAGAAAATAGATCTGGGAAGTTGAAATGCAGAAAAAATTATAATAAAAAACCAAAAAGCATCAGACCCCAGAATCACTGTAAGTAATTTCTTTAAAGGATTAAGAGACAGGACAGTAGGGAAAAATGGGTTAATATGCTACAGTGCTTAGAAAAGCAGAAACTGAAGTGAGAGCGATAAAACTATCTATCACTTCTCACAGCAGAGGCTAATATGGACAGATGACAATCCTAAATATAACCTTTACCAGCACTAGAGGAAATATAAATTGCCTCCCTTTTTTATTAAGTTCCGGATAGAAATTTTGAAATGCTAGCAAATTAGCATTAAAACCAGATAGTCACAAAGGATGATATGAGTGAAAGTAGCTGTATGTTACTACAAGTTTAAAAAACAGCTTCAGAGGATTGTTGGAGCTCCTAGACCACACTGCCCAATTGCAAGACATGAGCTGCACTGTGCTGTGGAGAAATATGGTGGTGTTTGTGCAGTAGAACGAGACTGCCTGCTTACATTTGGCTTTCAAAGACCTGCCTTTCTGCCTCTATAATTATTTACAAAAAAAAAACCCAAACCCCCAAACTGTCTGACTTTTTGACAGCTCGCTTACCCATGTCTGGCTATGAGCAAATGTGCTACATTACTAAAAGAAACCTAATTTTTCAGCTTTTTCCTGTCTCAGTGGGTGAACACTGTCACTGTCCTTTCTGTTCTTCAGGAAGTGCATTTCCCTGGGTACTCTCTCTAGCACAGGTTTTTCTTCAGTTTCTCATACTTGAGTCTTTTCTACATGTTGCTTGGTTTCAGTTTTTATATTCAGCTACAAGTTTTCATCCTTCCTGGTAAAAAATTTTATGCTTGCCCTCAATGCTGTATCGTCCTCTCCTTTTGCCTGGAGCAGGGCAGCCTTGCCTACTTGCGTCAGCCTGATTAGAGCTGCACAACTGATTTTTTCCAGATTGTTGCTCTGTGACTGTGTCATTTCTTTCTTTTTATCTTTCCCATAGTTCCAGGATATTAGATAAAACTGCTTGTTGCCAGTTAAAGGACTTTCGTGGCCTAAGGTCATCTCAGCTTTTTTCCTTCAGCTTTAACAGTGATACAAGTCTTCATTGTCCACTTGTCAAAATGTCAAATAGTTGCATTCATATTTTCTCCCACGCTGCCTATCATGCACTACTGCTAACTGCACTTACTTAAAACTTTCTTCATTTTCTCTCTCAATTTTCTTCTTTTTGCCTTCACTACAAGTAACAATGCAATACTAAACAAGATAATTTTTCAAGATGTGTGCCAGTACTGTATGAGCGAGGGTTTTTTGTTTATCCCTCCAGTGCTGACACTTTAGCAAAATCCCCTTTTCCTCAAGCTTGTACTGTGCTGATTATGTGGGGGTGCTCTGAGTACCTCAGTAAGAATATTTACAATATAAATTAAGAAAAGAATAAGCAAATCCCAGTGTTGCAATACAGGGTAGTATTTTATGGGGTATTTGCAGGGTTCAACGTGATAATGAATGTCAGGGTTGAATGTCAGTAGAACATTAAATTTGCAAATTTAATAATTGACTAGTGTAGAAAGGGACATCTAAAACTTTGGGAAGACATAATGAAGGTAAATAACTGACACAAAGAGTGAGATGCTAGCAAAAGAGATACTAACTACAAGTATTTGAGATTCCTAATGGATCTCTGGAGGGAACAGAAAGACAAAACATAAGTCACTTTAATGGAAATGTGTTATTGCCCCTGCCTGGAATGTCTGTTTGTGATAATTATCTAATTAGCAACTGATGTCTCAGTTTTAGTTAGTGTCTTGAATATTCTAGGTGAGTGCCTGTACCTTGGTTTTGTTACATAGGTGATTTGGGGTGACTTAGCAACAATTAATAATTTGATTTCTAGTGTACTTCAGAAATGGTACTTGCAGTGATGGAGCAGTTATCCAAATTACTGTATTCCAATCTATTTGAGTAGATTTAGTGTGTGATATTGTACATCATGAAGCAGTATCCAAATCTGCAACGCATGGAAGTGTGATCAGTGCTTTTCACAGATGACTGTTTTTAATGCTTCCTGAGTAGTCTTATTATGAAGCACCAGTTCTAACCTAGTCGCTACGTCATGAGAAAAACAGGAGGATCCTGGTCCTTATGGACTTGAATGTACATGAATAAGGGCTAAAATGTTTTTTTTATGTTCCTTTTTTTCTATTCTGAAAACTATGATATTTTGCTGGTGTCTGAATAAACAATAAGCATGGGTAAAACTAGGTTGGCAGCTAGTCTAGGGAGGGTTGAAGTGATTTTCACATTTGCTCCAGGTTGCTTTAACATTTTCTCCTGCTCTGTTCTCCTTGAGCTCTTGCCTCCTGTTTTCTGACAGTCTACACTGAGACCACTTGGAAGCTGAGATTTTTGTGCCATCTGTGGCCAGCACATGAGGTGGAAGATGCTTTTGAAAATACACTATCTGAATGGTTTATAAGTTACAGTGGGTGACCAGTCGACTTAAAAGTAGAATTGAAGGTGGTTGTTTTTGTGACCTGTAAATGTGATCTGTGGATCTCTGAGAAACCCCTGTGGGGTACATCTTCATCTACAGGTTGGGGTCATGTTAGTGATTAATGCCTTAGCAGCAGTAAAGCTGCTGTCTTGACAGCATGCAGTGAAGTGAATGAAGGCAGTAAATGAAATATTACGGAGAGGATTTGAGTGCTCAGGGTTTCAACTGAGGTTCAGAAAAGTCCCTTAACAAAACAGCCTTTCTCTGATACACCAAAACTGTTATAAAAATATGAACCAGATAAGCAAAATACATATACTCCTTCCATGTCCTTTGCACAACCTTCTTTAAAAATAACGAGGTTATTGTGCTGGGTTCAGCAGTAGCAGTCATTTTTCTCCTTGGTAGCTGGTGCAGTGCTGTGTTTTGACTTTCGGCCTGGGAGCTGATAACAATGATGTTTTGGTTTGGCCAAGGACTTTGTGAGCCTTATGCTCTGCCAGGGAGGAGGGGAAGCTGGGAGGAAGCAGAGACAGGACACCTGACCCAAACTGACCGAAGAGGTATTCCATACCACAGCATGTCATGCCCAGGATGTAACTGGGGGTTACCCGGAAGGGCTCTGGGACTGCAGGGTTAGAGGAGGTATCAGTCAGTGCTTGGTTGGGCTGGGGGGGGGCAAGTTATCGGTCGCCTGGTGATGGGCTGTTGTATTCTCTTCCCTTGTTATTTCCTTTATCATTATTATTATTGGTGGTAGCAGTAGTGATTTGTGTTATACCTTAGTTACTAAACTGCTCTTACCTCAACCCGTGGGAGTTGCATGCTTTTCGATTCTCCTCTCTGTCCCTCCAGGAGTAGGGGGAGAGCAAGAAGAGGGGGAGTGAGTGAACAAGCTGTCTGGCTGGGTTTAAATCACGGCAGTTATGTTTTCTTTGAATAACTGCAACCTGTTGTTTACTTGCTATACATTTATTATTTCTGGTGTTTGTGATGCTCACAAAAGTTTTTTCATAGTTAAAATAGATGTTACATTTTGTTCTGTTATTGAATTATGGGCTTTCTGCTTAATTCACATTTCTCTCTGCTATGCTGGGCTTCTCAAGGGAGAATTTTTAGGAACATCAATTCTAATTGAGCTATTCAAGCAAATCCTATAAGACAGTGGTTCACCCTTCATGTGAAGTGGACTTGACAGCATTCATTTATAACTAGCTTTGTACGAACGTAACAAAATTTTCCTTTTTGCAATGAGTTGGGTGTTTTGCTCCTTGGTAAAAAGAAACTGTGGAAGCACTTAAAGCCAGAACTGTCAGGACTATTTTGATAGTATAAGGCTGAAACAGTTCTATCTAAATAGAAATAAACTGATTGTAGGTAAGTAGTAATTGAGGTCTTCTATTCCTAATTTAGCATGGAGAAAGTGCCTTTAGCATACCATTAGCATAAGAAAATGGAAACAGCAAATTGGGATTTAAGTATTTTGTCTGTGATTTTTAGGTCAAGTCAACTGAAAGATTTTCAGCTAAATACCCTGTGGGAAATTAGTGTCAGTAGTGTAATATACATCTTTTAACATATTAAGAGCTTGTGAAAATCAGATTGCAGCTGTTGGACAATTTGAATTAATTCTTGAGATCAAATAACTAACAGAAATTAATTTAAACGTGACTTAATGTTTATGCTAAGATGGTCTATGTGCTTCTTTAAGGACATAATTATTACAGACCAAAAAAGGCTAAACTGTTATTCTAGCATTGATGCAGTTTTTCTGATTTAATAGAGTTATGTTGGTACAGGTTGAAGGTAGAGTCATTAGCCATTTTAAATCCCAGAATAATCATGGTCGTGTATAGATGTGTTGGTGACACAGTGAAAATAGGACAAAATTAGTTCTTTTAGTTCTGTGAGTTAACCCCAGTTTATCACCACACAGCTGCTCATTTACTCCTTAGAGTGGAATGGGGAAGAGAATTGGAAGCGTAAAAGTGTATGTGGGCTACAAAAACCTCAGCGTTTCCCAACATGCATACCTCCTCCAAAGAAACAACTTATTTGTGGTCAAAACCTTTACTTTCTGCTCAGTGCCTGTCATGTGGATATGTGAGAAATGTCAGGATTTGCCAAGGATTAGATCAATCCTATGACAAATCTAACCAATACTCCTTACTGAGTGTCACAATATGTTAATCAGTAGGAGAGGAACAGAATCACTATGGTTGGAAGACTCCACTGGAGACTATCTGGTCCAACAGCTCTGCTCAAAACAGCTCACACAGATCAGGGAAACCTGAGTTATCACTGGTGGAGACAGTAACTACACTTGAAATTTGAGTAAGAGGGGTCTTAAGTAAGAGGGGTGTTTATGCAATGAGTAATATTCTTAAGTGGAAAAAATTTCTATACAGTATTGGTAAAAGAAAGTACTTCTTAATTAAAAAAAAAGGTATATTATTTTAATTTAATTCCTTCTGTGCACTGAAAGATTATTGTCATGTCTTTTATCTTGGGAAATGCCCTTAGAACTTGCAGTATTTTTGCAGCTGTGGTACGTCTTCTCAGGTTAGCATATGCAAATAATATGTATAATAGGAAAACAGAAATCAGTAGGTGACTTCTCTGAGGGAGGCAGTTAACGGAGAGCTGAAGTTGAAATTTATAACTAGTGAATACAAATTAAACAATATATTGGACTTTTCGTCATGTAGGTCAGATGATGCGCAGGTAGTTTGCTTTCACTTGTTTTTTGTGAGAATAAAAATTGAAAATTGCCCAGGTCTTGTTCACAGAGTGACCGGTTTAGCTCCTGCCCTTTTTCTGTGCACATCATTTCCTTCTGTGTAGGTCCCTCAAATAGTCTGTCCAAAAATGGTCTTGTGAGAGTTCTGTGGTGTTTTCCCATAAGCTGCCTATTTGTATCATTTTGCTTATGTGGGAATAAACTCGGAGTAAATACAGTATTTTTTCATCCCCCAGGCTATAGCAATTCAGGGTAGGATGCTTCTTCCTGGCCTTTGATCCCTTTGACAAAAAGAAGGTAATGGGGTGAGAAATGAAATGCTGTTGGGTCACTTGTTTGGTCATTATATTTACAGTCCTTCTTGTCTTGGCAGTGTGTTGCTGGAGGCAATGCTGGGTAAACCCTGGGTTAAAGATGTGACAGTGGTTGGAAAACTAGCTGCAGACCCCCAAAGCTTGCCCTTTAGAACAAGAATGTTTTCTGATTTAGAGTCAAGTGCGTGCTAGCCCATTAAAGACTCAGGATCACATTTTGTGTGCTGTATTATGGATTGATATATGGAAATCAGCTTTGGGAATGCTTATGTAGGTTAATTCACCTTTTAATGGGGGAATAGGCAAAAATATATAATCCAGGAAGGGAATGAAATGCTAAAACACATTTTGTTGCCTCAGAGATAATTTTCTGTATTCATAGCTTTCATCCAGTAAAACTAATAAAATTCATTGGAATAACACAGGTCTGGTGAATAGCTGAAGATGCTTTTTTTTTTTTTTTTTTAATTTTCATAACTCATTTAATAGATGCTTTCATGAAAAAAAACCCACACAGAGCCCCCAAACAGCACAAACCTTTCTGAAATTAATACACTTTACAAGATAGGAATGTGTATTTTTGTCTTTGCATTTTTGATAAAGAAACAAACATTTTGCATTATTGTGTTTTGAAAACTTCCTTCATTTTGATGACTTAGTGTTAGATTACTGTCTAAGATTTATAGTTACAGTCTGGATAGCTGTTTCAATTTGGAGCTGGTAGACAGAGGAATGAAGGTACTGGAGACATAGCAGTTGGTAGTAGCTGGAGTAATTCGTTGCAGGACACTTAGAAAATGCAGTGTTTGATACCAAGTAAAACCTAGGGAGGGGAGTTAAAAAGTTCAGTGATAGTCTGCCTCAGGATTTGGAACACCTGCAATAAGGTGGGGAGTTTTAATCAATCCAAGGCTAATGGATTGATTAAATTATTTCTGTTGCTAAGATGGATATTTTAGACACAAAGAAGGACTTCAATTTGTCTTACTTTATTTTTTAATTCATATGTGTGCTTTAAGTTACTTCCCTATACACTGTTTTGTCTGGCCTTGTAAAACAAGCAGCTCTGTGGCAGAACTCAACATTGTCTCCTAAAAATAGCTTCTACAAGACTGTTCACTAGACAGCTTTTTGGAATATATCAAATGAAATGAGGTTAGTTTTGACTGCTCCAAAAATCAGAAGTTTGCATTTGCACGAGAAGTCTCCTTAACATGTTTTTTTTGGCACATTGTAGCTGATGAAAGTAAAACCCACCAGTTTTGATTTAGTTACTCTAACCTGAAATGATCAGATTTGAAGTGTTTGGGATATATATTGAAGATATTATCCCAAATTAAGCATTGTGAAACTTGTGTCGTGTAAAGTGAAATGAGTAAATGGTGGGAGGGAACACAAATTAAATTGTCTTTATAATTCTGCAGACTTGGCAGGCTGCTACCCTGGCAGACTTTCATCTTTATGAATTTGCTAACTGTTGGAATCTGGCTCCTTGCTGGAGTGGAAGAAGGAGTGGGGAAAGTGAGGACCTGATCCAGAGGGGGAGTGTGGAGGATAAAGAAAGGGTAGGACTTTCTGGAGGGTGGGCTTTGCTCCCATTAGAAAATGGGGAGGATGATGAAGTGCTGATGATAAGTGAGGTAGGGTTTAAGGTAATAAAAGTGGATTAAGTATGGGGTGGAGTTCACAGCAGGTAATGTGGAAAATGAAGCAATTAAGCATTGACAAGGAAAGATGTTTAGAGGAAATCTGGGGCTAGTGAAGCTCTGGAAGTTAGGAGGATACAAGGTAGGTTAATGGAAGAAGCTGGAAAGATGGGAGAGGCTTTTTGTAGTTTTGCAAATCAGGCAAGAATTGAAAGAGAAACTGGGAACTGAGCAGATCAAGAGCTTACAGAACTAGTTGCCAAGAAGAAGTTGTAACCTTTCTGCTACATGAAATGTTGTAATCCAGGAATATTCCCTCTAAGGAACATTGTTCAGAAATGAATAACACAGCCTGTAAAGTATGCATTGTTGGCAACAACCTGTCAGGCATTTTAGCTAAAAGAGGGAAGTAATGCAATTTTCCTGCTGTATGTGTGGCAGTATGCACAGTAGTATGAGTCTCTTCATATTTTCATTAGACACATTTTAATGGAGTTTTTCTGAAGATGAGAGTAAGAAGTTGTCATTTTTCTCTGTACTCGTTGAGGACAGATGTGACATGGAAAGCCATTTGATTTTGTTATCAAAGCTGCACCTTTTCTTTTGA